TCTACTTTTATCTGAGGTCCAGTTCCTCTCGTAATTTATTTTTTTGCTAACATTTTGTAAGACTTTTATTAAAAAGCGTTGAAAAGTTAATAAAAGTATTTGTTTTTTGATTATAATTACTGTTTAATAAGTTATTGTTAATTGATTTATTAAACACAATTAAGTTACGGGTATTTGTCATTGAAAAACGTTAATTAAAAACAATTTTTGACGTAATTTATTAGTAATGATTTATTTTACGTGTATTGCATCAACAACAATTTTAGCGCTCAGTGTACGGTTGCCATAGAGACCGATATTAACCACTCGTTAATTACGTCTCGTAACGCAAACTATAAAGTAATTTATTTTAATTAGTTTTCGCGATACATTCAAGGTAAGATTTAATGATACATTAAACTCAATTAAATGCTAACTAAATCACACGATAACATAATTTATAAACCATTTTAAGTCTAATTATTAAACTATAAAATATACTAAATGTTGACGTAATTGACGACCGATGAGTGAAACGATATCGTCGTATGCGATGAATGGCTAAACAAACGGTCGGAAAATGTGTGATAAAAGTGAATACAAAACCCGCTTTTGGTGTCAATTATCGTGTGTTTTGTTTATCCATTCATTCAATGAGTCCATGGATTGAGTGATGAATGCATTGAAACCGCGAAACAAACACTCGTTTCATAAACACTTGTGTCCACCGAAAGTGTCCCTCATTTCATATCTGACTGTTTGGGGATCAAGTGATCGGTGATGTCTTCGCGCACCACCACTACCACCACCTCCGGGGCGTCGTTGCCATCGTTTGTGGGCCAATACCGGCGCCCGATGTCTGATCCGACGCCCAAACGGACCACCGATTGTCGCGACGCTATCGCCCACAAGAAGTTGAAGCGCTTCTTCAAGTGCACCAAATTTAACCTCAAGACCGGAGCCAAGAGTGACCAGTGCTTTGTCACCAGAAACACGTCCCAAGACTTCAGGGATCACCTCATGAAACGACACCCGAAGCAGACTTTTTGTTGCGTTTACTGTAATCCCAATCCCAACAAGACTTACGACAAAGAGGTAATTGTCTGCTCATTCTGTGGACACAGGAGGTCGGTGTTGGTGTCGGTGATGGCCACCACTAGATGCCTGTCCACTGGTGTGTCCATTGTTTGCGTGATTATCACTGTTTCGTTGGTATTATACTAAAGCCATAGCTCGGGATCAGTTGATTGACGCGTTTTTGTGTGATCTCTGTATTTATGACTCGTTTCAACTGATTGTCTCA